GGTGTGGGAACCAGACCGCTGGAATGTGTCGACCTCCTCGTTGTCTCGCTTCCACGGTGACAACCAACTTCTCTCTGAACCGATGGCGCCACAATGAGTCTAGAGGTCCTTCTCGGCCTGCGTTTGCTGCAGGAAACTTGCGAGGGCCGGCCTAGAGTACCCACCTTCTCTTTCGATTCAACAGACACTGCCAGAAAAGGGCAAGCAATCCAGCTAAAAGATCTCACGAGAACTTGACGTAATCCAGGCTTGAGGGCCTAGGTCTCGTAGTATGGTCTCGCAGGGAAGATTTTCCGACGAGAAACGAGACACAGAACACAATTTGCTATAATGGTTCCTTCTGTTGGCTGAAAAGCTGGTGAGCTTGGTAGTCTTCGTCCGGGGAGAATCAGACAACCAGAGCAACAAGTGAATCTCGATGTTGCTCATCCTCAGCCTCATATGCGATCTCGATCTGCCTCTTGGTGGAGATAACTTTTGCTACGACAGCGCAGCCCATTTTTCAGCCATCTCTTTCGTGGAGCGACTCAGCTGCGGGGGGGCTTACAAGACGTTGATAGCCACAGCCGTGGATGACGGAAACCGCGTTCCCCTGATTCTATTTGTTTGGTGACAATCTTAATATGCGGGCCATTTGTTTTGGTACTGCCGTTTGCGACGGGCAGTAGGCATGCGGCGTTCCAGAGCAACAACAACCACAGTGTGACAAACCGGCTGATGTATGGCTCGATCGATCGGATGGCGGGCCTGCGGTCTAACGACAACTCGAGCTGAGATGCCTGTCGTCCAAATGATCAGAATGGTGGCAGACGGGAAAGAAAGCCTTGACCGCAGCGGGAGTTTCAGCGATTTGTATTGAAGACGTCATGCCGCCTGCCATACGCCTCATGCCGTCAAAGGCGCATTTCAGCGTTGGCCTGAGAAAATAATTGATATCAGACTTCCAAACGACGTTCACCTGAAGACGATAAATGGTCTGGTCGGGAAGCAAACGGTCGGGCAAAATCAAGCGTCAACGAAGGCAGTATGTCTTTTGCGTGGTCTTGGTCCCCGAAAGTTAGGATGCGGGAGATCGTCCGCAGCCAAGGGCGACAAGTGATTCCGGGCAGCGAACAAGTGGTGACCCTGGAAAAGAGGTTTCCCATGCAAGATGGGGACTTCTTGATTTTCTCGACCTGGCAATCCGATAGGGGCCTGAGCAGCTGGACGATCGACAGGGGACGATCGCCCCTAGCATACCGATCTCATTCTGTCAGCTAACATCACAGGCCAGGGATGTTGCTATGCTCCGTGGTTCCGAAGGATTGTGTGCGGGTCGGAGATATGAGGATATGGTTAGAGACATGCTGCAAGGGAGGCCGAAGAGGAGTGAGCGACTTTTCTGCTTTCCTTGATGGCTTCGAATTGCGAACCACCAACGCCGGATCAAAGTGCAAATTTTCGAGTTCGCTTCGATATAGCGTGGTGCTTTCTCGCATCGGGGCATCGTCCAAAAAGTTCTCTCGACTTTGAAGCTCAAAATTTCTCCCTGCGATATCTCGTAATGGTACCTGAAGGGTCCATTGTCTCGCACGAGTTTACAGGGTCGCTGGCTGAGTCGACAAACCTGTTCGCGGATACTTGAGAAGGGATGTGAATCAGGGGAAGGAGAAGGGTCAGATCTCGATCTCGATCGTGTTGGGTTGCAGACTCGCGAGACATGCTGGTAGCAGCTCTCAGGGCTGTTGATTACCGGTATCGTGAGGTTCCAACGCAGTGGCTTGTGCAGACTCTGAGCCATCCCTGGGGCGGACTGTTGCGCGTCCCCTTGCCCTTGGGTTTGTTACGATTGATTGGCGGCTGTCTCCGGGCAAGGATGTCAACGGAATAAATCGACGCAAGTTTTTTTTTTTTTTTTTTTTTCCTCGGGTGCTGATTTTTACGTTTGAACGAGTCGAGGGTTCGGATAGATAGGTACTATCAGGCAGGCATCCTTGACTTTAGAGATTTCAAGAGTGTAAGTGAAGCAGGGAGGCTGCTTGAGGGGCCCGGCAGATTGGAAAAGAGACGCCGAGAAAGGATGGCCCTTGGTCGTCGATAAGGTATCCGTAGGTACGGATGAAATGGTTGGATTAAATGGATAGCAACGGGCAGAAATCAGATGGGCGACGTTGGATTTGAGCAGTCAATGACTTGAAGTTTCGGGGGCGCGAATATTGATTCCCAAAGGCGTAGAAACCGTTGCAGACAGACGGGTATGAAGAGTCAAAGAAGAATTGAAAAATGGCCCCCAGGTCTAGGAAGTTGCAACCGTCGATGAATGGAAGGAAGTACCGCTGCACCGCACCTGCTTGGAGCGTTCGGTTCCAGGTCCACGAGGCAATTGCGAGCTTAATCATGGGGAAGGTCCAATGAGTAGTTTGATTGGGTCCTGCCACTCCTGCAAGATCAGGGAACAGGGGGAAGTCGTCGGGAGCGACCCGTTGTTTCCCAGTTTGATCCCCGAGCTCCCTTTCTAGCACGGGCCACCCTTGTTCTTTCCCTCTTCGCTGGCACATGGGCCCAGGCCTTTCCCTTCCAGGTTGAAGTTGACCTGGATGGCTGCACCTTACCTAATCATGCCAAGATTTGGGTTAAGAGCAGGCACATCCCGCACTCAAGCAGCAAGCTTCCATGGAGTTTGGACGTTGAACTTCTACTGACGTACTCCGTACCTACTGCGGTATCCGAATACTCTCCTGGGATGCCTTGGCTATCAAAGCTTGAGAAAAGTTCCAACGCTCGGTGGGTGTCAACGCTCGTCCAAGACCATCTCCTTCCTCCTTGATTCCATCTCAACGCATTGTCCAATACACTGCGTGTGTCAGATGCTGGGCGACAGAACATCGAGAGAAGGATGAACGAGCCTCGCGCCAATGCAGGTCTTACCGCGTTCCCGATCGTCTAGACAATTCATCGACGGAGAGGGCCGCTGGTTTCTCCAGACCAGGCACATATGCAAAGCAAAGACCTTTTAGATCGTTTGCAATTGTGTACCTGCAATAGCTTGCTTCCCTCACTAATTTCCAGAGACACTGTTTCGAATCCAATATCCTACTCAGACGTTCGCTATACAATCTATCCCACATCACCTTACGAAAGGCAGACGATCCTTACGGATACAGATGATCCATGAGGCCTAGGCGGGGAACCTCCGGGCAAATACCATCCCGTTGGGACTGTTGAAGAAGGAGAGAGAGGCCAAAGGGCAGGCGACTGGCAATCTGGGTGGGTTTCGTCACTGCGCAGTGACAACACACACTCACCCACACCTCATTTTCACTCTCAGTCCTGAAGTTCACGCTCACTCTCACTCTTCGTCCCTCATACCATACAGCGCACTCGCTCACTCATTCTTGAAAGTAGCTCATTCTCACCGCCGGCGCACAAGTGCCCTTGGATCATGAACATGTCATGGATCTCCTCGTCACTCATCGAAGCCGGTCTTACGGCCACTACCAAGATCTAGGCCGAGGTCAGAATGCGCAGATTGGTTGACACTAGGGCTGATTGGTGTTTCCTCTCCTCTCCGGCCGAACCTACGCCCACTTCCTTGCCCATGCTCACAGCTCACAGCTTATCCCCAGTGCGCTCCCACCACACGTCCCCAGCCCCCTGATTTTCTCCCACTGGCTCAATCTCAATCGTCGGCACCGCGGCCACCGCAGGCAGTTTCCCTGCCACGGCTGATCGGTCACTGGTCAATCCCACACGGGTGAGGCGAGCAGTTCCAATCTCTTGTCTCTCATCTCCCGTCGTGGCCGCAGCCGGCGCCGCCTTCGCCTGGTCGCACACTGTCACTTCTAGCCCATCCTCCCGTCCCTCCGTCCCAATTGGCACCCAATGCCCGATATGTCAGCTCATGGCCGGCAGAGTCTCCTTGGGGCCTTGGGTAGGCCAAGTTTCCCATAATCTCAATGAGCAGTCGGGATATCCCTGGACCAGGTCGCGCATGGTCGTCGATAACCAGGCGGCCTAGGCTGCACATCCCGCGATCCCATGCGCGTAATGGCAATGATGTTCAGCGGGGAGAGCCATGCACCGGTCAGACTTAGGAAGGCGCCGTTAAGGCATCCCGAGGGCCCAATCCTGAAAGCTGCAGCCATCTTCCACGCCGGCGCTGCAATAGACGACAGCTCAACTCTCCACACGGCGCGCGCATCTCAATGTACCTCGTTGGATGGCAGAGCCAAGGCGTCAGACCAGTTACCTCGCGACGGGGAACAACCTGCAAAGAGCTGCAAAAGCCTGCATATGGCTGCACGCCGTGAATTGGCGGATGCTGTACCTTGGCTGGGGGCGCGCCAGTAGAGGAAATTGGCCCATGTTGTCCACCTGTGGGAGATGTTGTTGGCACTCTGCATCCGTATCCGTACACCAGGACTACCTTTTAATGTCAGGTAATGTAATACCTCAGGGCTCAGGTTTGTACGTACGGATGCTGTCTGTCCAGTGCAGAGTCCAGAGTCCAGACTCCAGTGTGCCCCCAGCTCCATGTCGAGATGGTTCGAACCCTGCCTTGTCCGCCGGGTGAGAAGCGAAGCTCCGCCGTGGTTCGTAATTTGACGCGATGATGGGTTGGGTGTTGGGTACGATGCCGGTGCCCTGCCGAAACAATTAAAACCCGTCACCTGTCCCATCCCGTTTTGTGTCCCACGTCCCCGTCTCCGTCCTGCCTTCTGCCCTGCTCTTGCGCGACTTGCATCATCAGTCATCCTGACCTCGAACTCGAACTTGATCGCGCGCCATCGACTTTGGACCGACCACCCACTCACTCAAGCCGTCAATGACCTCGACACCCACATCCTGACAGAGGTCGCATGGAGGAGGTGTTGCTTGGTGAGCTGCCATAGGTCCGTGTTGGCCCAAGGTAGCAGCAGGAGCAACAGCGGCCACCAAACAATTCTCACTCCCGTCAGCCCAGTCACGTACGCGCAGCAGCACTGACATTGACTGAGCTGAAGCTGGATGTGGTGAATTGGATGGAATTGGACGAGCACTACTACCAGGGCAACCCGAGACAATTCGTGTTGCTATCAATCAGAAAGTCTGAACGGTCCGAGACTGAGACTGAGAAAAGAGCTTGTTTGGCTGGTGGACGTGTCGTGTACCTGGCCTGGTCGTCGCAACCCAACCCAACTGGCGCGACCAACTTCCAGCCTCCGGCAAGCAGGTCGCATCCAATTGGATCCAAGTGCATCGAGGAGGAGGACCGCCTCGCAGAGAGGAGGAAGCCGAAGAGCAGCAACCTGAAAGTGGGAGAACCTGAGGTTCAAGGTACCTCAACTTCAGCTCCTGGTCCCCCCTTCCAGCCCAAGGTGCTGCACCTTCTCACTCCCAGGTTTTTGTACCTTCCTTTGGAGTGTCCTACGTGATGCTCTCCACAATCACTTCGCCTTGGAGTTGACACTGAAAATCAAAGGAAGGCGCAACTGGGCAAGAAAGGCACAACCACCACCGCTCACTGCCCAATTGGCCGCTCCTTCCTTCACATGAGATTGGCTTTTCTCACGCCTCATCCACCTTCTCATTGACAAAACAAACATTCTGCACGACGGGAAAAAAGAGAAGCCAATTTCACAAGATTTTTTTTTTGCCATCTTTCTTTTTCCCCCCCACGCACAATCAGCAGGCCTCCCAACTGGCGCAACCTCTTCTCTCACACACACACTCTCTCTCTCACCTCTCACCTCACACCTCACTCTTATCCTTACTCCAAACTACTGCGGCCTTTCTTCCTCTCACTTCGACCACCAAAAATCTCACATCTTCAGCATCGCCATCTTCGCCATTTTCAACATCTTCACTGCACGCAGTCAGTAGCAGTCCCGACAAATTCATTTCAAAGTGGTCGCTCAGCTCAATTCGACCACTGGCAGCAGTGAGGTGGCTCCAGTCTCACTCTTATCCGTTCGAATTACGCTTCTTCCAATCTATCCGTCCAATTCCGCCCACGCTGCCAAAGCGCATTGTCGCCTAGCCACCCTCTTTTTCTCAACCCAAGCTCCAACCTCCAACCTCTCGAATTTCTTCACCTCAGACCTCCGGCTTAGCACCTTTCTCTTCTTTCTTGGACTCCATTTCTCTGGACCCTCACTTCTCCGCCTTCAATTCGTCTCTGCTGAGCAGTAGCAACTTGCTCATACAGACCGCCTTCGACAATATTTTGGGTGTGGTATCAGGACCCCATCATCAAGATACCACCCTACCGAGTAAGTTGTACCCTGTTCCCTCCAACCTCACCCATTTTTTTCCCTGCCCGGTTTTCCATGTAACTCGACTTTCGCACAATCCACACCACCTCCGTGTTCTTACCTTTCGGTACTTGCTGACTCTTGCTGGATCAGCGTTCCCCCAGATCCTCCTCAACACCACCAACACTACCTCATTTCTCAGTTCCGAATCACCACCAAGGTGGTGATAATTCCGACTTGTCTACCCCAACAGGTCAGAGCAGTGACCTGGGCAACATTGTCAAGTTGACAGACCAAACTCCCCCCACGCCTTCTAACGACCGTCACGAAATTCACGAAATCACGACCCCTTCTGCGCAGCGCCAGCAGCAGCGGAGGCAAGCGCGAAACATTACCCCAGATCCAGTCGCTGAGAGACCAACTACTCCAGCTTCGTCCCAACTCTCACACCGCACCCTTCGACGTACTTCGCGATCCGTTGCGACCCCAAGTCCTACACCGCAGTCTGCCCGCCAGGTCCACATTGAGGCCGCATCAGTAGGTTTCAGTCCCAAACCACAGGTTGCGACCGCGCCTGCGCCTGCGCCCACGCCAACACTTGCGCCTGCCCCGACTTTTAATTACGATTACCCTCGAACCGTCGCTCCCCTCGATCGACGAAATTCACGTGCGCGAAGAGTTCTCTCACAGGATCTGAGCGAGGACTTTGACGAAGAGTCCTCCGACGAAGCTCTGTTATTCCGAGACCCAACATCATCGTCTTCTCATACCCGACGCGAGTCTCACCGACCTCATCGCGTTTCCAGAAACACTCGCAGTGCCATCCTCTTCGCTCTTGAGGAGGCGCTCCGGCAACCTAACCTGTTCACGCCCGACGAGATAGAAGAAGGCGCATCAATGGCTGACCTGATCGGAGGCGGCACTGCCGCTTCCAACGGCAATGCCTCGGCTTCCACTCGCCAGCGCACCACTGGCGCCCCTAACCCTACCAGCTCGCCTTCTGGAATTCGTGGTCCTAGAATGATCATGCAGGAGCGCGCTGCTAGAGAGGCAGCCCGTCAGAGAGCCGAACAGGAACAGATGCAGTTGGAGAGACAGCGAGCCGAGCAGGAAGCTCGCCTATTGGAGGAGACGCAGAGACGGAATGCGGAGCGCCGAGCTGCCACCGCCGCTACTGGCGCTGCCGGAGGAGGAACAGCTGGTGGCGCCGCCAACGTGCCCCAGCAGGACCCCACCTCTCACCGGCGACCCGTAGCTACCGATACCCCACAAACCCGAACCAACCCGGGAGGAAGTTCCCGCCAGCCCACAATGACTCAGCCGCAGACTCGACACGGTCGAACGGCGTCGACGTCTCAGCCCGGCCAGCAACCCTACAGCACAGCCCCTCAGGCCAGCACCACTCAACAGCCTGCTAACACATCTGTTCAAGGAGCCCAGGAGTCTGGCGCTACGGGATCGAGACCCAGAAACTCATTTCCCCACGCGTTTGAGCGTTGGGAAACCTTATCGGCTCATTGGGAGGGTCTCACCAGCTTCTGGATTCGACGACTTGAACAGAACAACCAGGACATTGAGCGTGATCCTGTCAACCAAGCGCTCTCTCGCCAGGTCACCGATCTTACTGCGGCCGGTGCCAACCTTTTCCACGCCGTCGTCGAGTTGCAGCGCCTCCGCGCTAGTTCTGAACGCAAGTTCCAGCGATGGTTCTTCGAGACCCGGGCTGAGCTGGAGCGTGCTCAGGAGGTCAACGCCATGTTAGAGTCGGCCCTTGACGAGGAGAGACGTGCTAGAGAGAATGCTGTTCAGGCAGCTATCCAGAAGGAGCGTCAGCACTCCGCCAACGATGAACGCGTCAGGGAGATGAAGAAGGAGCTCCAGATCTCCAAAGAAGAGGCCCGCCGCGCTTGGGAGGAGCTTGGTCGCCGCGAACATGAAGAACGCGAACGGACCCAGTCTCTGCAGAGCGGTCAGCCTACCATCCTCGGCGGCGTCCAGGTCGTCCCGATGACGCAGGGTGTTCCCAGTCGCCATGGCAGCTCCCGTGAGCAATACGGCGGCCAGCAGGCCGGCTACGCTGGCGATTACTCTCAAGCCCCTGGTGGTCAATCCATTCCCGCCACGTCCAGCAACCTCTATCCATCCGGCGATCCAGGTCAGGAAGGCGTTACTTACACGGGTGCTGGTTCCGAGGGTGGATACTCTGAAGGTGAGTACACTATCGATGCGCAAGGCCACTTCGTTCGCGATTCCCAGGGAAATAAGGTTCCCTTCATTGCTCCACCTTCCCCAGTTTCTGACGAAGGTATAGAAGAGTATGAAACCCCAGCGACGAACCCTCCCAGTGCCGGTTACCTGCAGACCCCCACCACGTCTGCTGGAGAACAGCAGCAGGGAACAGCCCAAGACTATTCCGGCTCGGGCTATGCTGCTCCAGGTTGGGAGACTGTCCCAAGGCATCATCATCCGACCCGCCTGAGCGATGTCATGGAAGAGGATGAGCGCAGCCGCGCCAGCAACAGTCAAGTGGGCCGACACTAGTATTCTCCGGCTCGAAAGCACTAAGCTCTCAAAAGCCTCGATCCTCGAAGTGCTTACGCGACTCACATCGTCCCTGAAGAAAATAAGGGCGCCAGAGCCCGTTTACCACTTGCGGTCTACTCGATGGCACGGTATCATCCCGTTCTCTCGCACTTCATTCACTCTTGCAAGACTATCGCCTCTTGCGAGCACACATTACACCCTTGCCAATGGTGGCACTGAACAAGCATACATAATTCTTCTGCACGAACATACGACCTCGAGGCGACTTTGACGATTCGCGCGTCATAGGAGCCTATCGGCCAGGCAGACTTCACGGGCATTTCGCAATATGGCCTGCTTCGTCCCTCATCGTTGGCACAGAACTAGAAGAACGCACCTGTGGCAGACACGGACTGTCCGTCTAGACATTGTTGGAGTTTCTCAAGCGCGACTTGACGACTAATTTTTCTGTTTGGCATCACACTTTTTTTCGGAGACCTTTGCGACAAAAAAAAGAAACAATTTTGAGAGATGGTTTGACACGGCGACGGACGGTCGGGCATGAAAGGGTCAGCATGGCATGGCATGGCATACTTCTTTTTTCTCCGTTTTGGCGGCAATCAATCATGATTTCTTTTTTCTCCCCGACTCTCCGCCCAAAGACTTCGAGTGAATAAACCGTTGCATCCTCAGTCAGACCAGAACTCGCACCCAGCCACGCTCAGCGGCAAAGATTCCACACGAGAGGCTTCAGACTTGAGAGGAAAGAAGAAATGGAATTCGACATGGAGGCATGAGCAAAGTGTGGTGCAGAGCTCTCATGGCGTTTGGGGCAAGGGAACGGGGGAGGAGGAGCCCTGTATTTGTAGAAAAGACTTTTTGTAGGAGATAATTCATTTGCATCGAGTACGTGCGGCCACGTACTATGCGCGTACTTAGCTAGGATACTTGTTCTGGAATGCGAAAGTATCGTGACGTGCCGGTAGTTGGCTGGATGCTGCGTGACCGCCTACCGCTGGATGAGATGTAATTTTGGGTGCGTGAAGGTCGGTGGCGGGGCGATGGCGGGGCATTCCGGGCCAAGACTCCGTCCGGCCTTGCCTGCTTTTGAATGATGCGCATTCCTGAGATCAGGCTGTGGGTTAGCTCACACGCTCATGACCGGGCGAGACGCACATTTACGCGCTCAAACTCTGGTATCCCTTGATTGGGAGTGTGTTCGATTATGATGGCAGAGCCTTCTTGAGTTCAGAAATATCTGTCTGTTTGGGAAGCGTTGGATAATCGAAGTGCCGAGTCCCCGCGTGTGCTTTTGTACCATCTCGAGAAAAATGGAGTGAAGACTTTGCGGATAGTCTGATCTGCGCGTTTCCAAAATCCATATACACCTACCAGCCGGCACTGACACCAATGTCTTGCCACTCAAATCCTTTTCTTCTCTATATAATTGCCACTGTCCAGCTGAGCTGAACTGGACAGTCGGCCAGCCTGCTTCGTGGTTCGCGTCGCACAACATGGGGACTACGTCATCTAGCCTGACATGACTTGTGGTTACGGCGTGTAGAGATTAGGCGGCTTGGTATTGGTCTGGCGTTCTGGCGTTTTTTTGCGTAGAGAGAGAATTGCGAAGTTGCGATATTCTCCGCGGGCTAGGTGAGCGGTGCCTCTCAGTTTAGTTGATAAGAGACCTAGATTTCCTTTCATGGTTCGAGATTTCTGATTCCGTAACAATCCTATTCCTACCTCAACGTCATTCACGCACCATGTCCAAGTCGAAAGAGGTGTCGAAGGCTGCTAAGCCAGGCTTCCATCCGATGGCCACTTTGAGGACGTGGCTATCGCGTCTGAACATTGAGGATGCTGGAGACGCCTCGCCTCCGAATCTGAAATGGTATCTTCCACGAAGGCGGCGGGAATCTCGATCGCTCATTCGTTTATCTGAATGGCCAGTTGCAATCCCGACAGCAGCTTCTTCATCTTCAGATGAGGAGGACGAGTTCGACGTTTCGTATGATGAGCTTCGGCCAGTATCTAGAGAATCTACCAAGGTGCCCCTTGATGACTTCTTCGAGGACCTCGTCTCCGTACCCGACGCTCTGAATAACACGACCTCAATAACGGGGGATTTACGTTGCTCTGGTTCGGAAGGTATTAGTGCGCGCGGATATGTGCGTCGAGGGCTTGTGAAAATTCTCTCGAAGAAAACTCATGCTAAAACATCTCAGGGAGCGTTTGTTCAAGCGGAGAGCTCTGAATCTTTGCTGCTGGCTTGTCCCTTTCCGAAGTACGATCCGTCTAGGTATGGCCAGAGAAAGACCTGTCGAGGGGCGGCTTTCAGAACCACGCACCGGCTGAAGTAAGTCGTGACCCTCCTCGCTGTCGAAATGATCTCGAACGTTTCGTAGGCTCCATGGACACTATCGTTCACTAACCTTTGCAACCTTTACCTAGGGAACACATATATAGAACCCACAAGCAAAAACCTAACTGTCCACGGTGCCATGCTATTTTCAAAACGAACACTGAGGTCGAAACTCACCTGAGAGAGAAATCCACATGTGAAGTCAGTCAAGGCGGCGGCCTGGTTGAGGGATACGATGCCGCTCAGGGCGAGCTGCTTAAGAGCAAGAAGCGCAGGAAAGGAGTCGAGACGGAGGAGGACAAGTGGAAGGAGATTTTCAAAATACTCTTCCCCGATCGAAAAGATGTACCGGATCCTTGTAAGCCTTTTTTGAGGCTCTCTGCCGAAGTTCTCGTCATGAATTCGATGGAAGAGCGCTAACTGACGTCGGTCAAAGTCTACAGGACACCTTTCGATGAACCGAGTACGACAACGGGGACATCGACAAAGGAACAAGACGATGCCGAAAGCATCTTCACGCAAGACATACCATCTAGTATAGAAGATGAAACATACTCGGCTATGGAGAGAGCTATCGGGGGGGCCTTGGGTAAGCGCAAGCGGAGCAGGGTCCTGGACGTGTGCAAGGCTTTCGCGGTCAAGATGATTCGCCAGTCTACGCAACAGATTGCCAGTCAAAGGGAGCCTAACCACGTCCCAAAGTCTAGTGAAGCAAGAAAGATCAATCAGGCCAATCGTCAATTCAAGATTCGGAGCAACAAGCAGCCACTCAGGACAGCAAACAGTAGGCTGGACGAGAAACCTGACGAAGTCGGCGCGATTCCTTCAGCAACACAGATCAGACAGCCGTCAGAGCCGTTCAAGACTTCGGGTTTCTCGTCTGCGGGAGGAGAAGATGAGTGGCTCTCCGTCCGTCCGAACCTGGAAAATGTACCTGTAAACTTCGGCAACGACAACATGTATTGGCCTACGCCGGAAGCGACTTTCGCTAATGTCAACGGGGATTTGTGGTTGGATCAGTTATTGGGTAACGGTAGTACTCTTCCAGGACTTTTTGCCGAAGAACCGGACACGGCATTGGAGATGTTCTCTGGCACTGCTTTTGAGGGAGTTGATCCTAATCCCAGGTAGACTCATGTCAGGCCTCGCCGGTTAAGGGATAGCTTAAGGGGCATGAGGAGGGGGACCAAGCAACAAAGGAGCAGCTCAGGCATATATAGAGCGCTGGGAGTACACCTCGAGGGAAGGGCAGATTCAGTAATTCATCTTCTAGACCCTAACAGCAGTTAGCCTCTGTGAGCTTCTTCCCTGTGTCGTATACCTATTGACAACTCAGCGGATGTAGTTGGTAAAGAAATCGCCGCGTAGTCTCGCTGCAAGGATATGAAATGCGTTGCATGAACGATAGGGAGTGCTTTTTTATAGATTCTGAACCGCAGATTGGTTCTATGAGTTCTTCTTTGGGGCGTCCGCAGAGCATATAGATTCTGTCAGACGGACCATGAAATGTCAAAGGCGCGGACCTTTGCGTCTGCTGGTGTCTTTGGACCGATGGAAAGTACCCATGTTTAGAGTTCACAGAGAATTCTTATGATATCTTCTCATGCAAGACTTCTTATCGTATTTGTTGCTTTAGGCATAAGTCAAAACATTATCAAAGGGATTGCATCTGTGACACGTAGCTTCGCCGGCCGGAGTTTATACTGCATCTGCGACTCATAGTTCTCATTTGATGGTTCAAATTCCTGGCCTGCTAGTTGCGAAGAGACCAAATACTAACCAAAACTTCACCGACTGAGCAGAAATGCAGCAGAAAAGTGCACAATGAGCTGATCTTAGAATCCCGTAGTACTGCGCGTGGCCCCTCACAATCTCTGAGATCTCGCAATATTTTCACATACGACCATACCCATTGGAAAATTCGGGATCCCGTCCGCTCTCCCATAGACAAGCCAATGAGGGCCGGATTAGTAGTTGGGTCGGTGACGACCAGCGAACACCTGGTGTTGTATGTTTTTGATCTTTTTGTGAAGCTATCGTGGTCCACTTTGGTACGATCGTGGTGGGGAACGCTACCGCTGGGCCTCAATGAAGTGCACCAGGGAAAAGCCCAAGTAAGGTTGCTCTCCGTCATTTCAATGAAATTCCCTTGATAGTGTTGCTTTCACAATCGCCTTCGACGCTGTTCCCTCGGTTCTGATGGTAAAGATGAAGCCGACGGCGATGTCTAGGACGCATCAGCCGTTCTCCCAAAGCAACCCTCTGAAAAATAGGCGAGCTTTGTGTATGTCAATTTGAGAAGCCTTGATTAAAGCATAATAACTTCATAGCGAGCATTGACGCATGAAACTTGATTTCGGGAAGACTTGTTGCCATGAGTTGTGGCTGAGTGTGGGATTCGGCCTTCGAAGACCGTGGTGAGAAGGTCCACGCCGCCTTTTCACTTGCGCCTTTCCACTTGCGCCTTTCCACGGTATTGCAAGCTTGGTTCTAGAACTTGATGAAGCTGCATTCATCATTAGATATTATTGGTCATTGACTCCGGGTTCGCATTGACTTTGGTAATACGGAGTCCAACATCATTGCTAGGTATCGTGCAGGAAATGTGACTTGATGCTTCCCAGGAGAAGCCTCTCAAGGGCAAAACCTAGTCAAGGGGCCGAGACAGAAGAGTATAAGTGGTCAGAGGTGTCCAAGTTCCTCTATCACCATTGTCGGGACACACACGCCTGAAAGACACTGTTGGGCACGTATGATCTTCGATGCGGATCATCGTCTAACTTCTAGCCACCTTCCATTTCTTTACTTCCGATAATTACGCCAAAATCGGCATCTTTGTTCGTCACACTTAGGCCGCCGCACGAGAAGTAATAAGCGGTAGCTAGTTCAAGCTACGGAAAGGATGCTGCGATGCAGCCTCTCAAAGGAGGCTTCCGCTGGTTTGGGGAAACAACAAGATGCCGCACTTGATTTAGTCGCAATAGAACCTTTGACTATCTCATACTTCAGCGAAGACGTAGGGGAAAATTGGTCAAGAGACTGCATGCAAAGTGTGCAAGTTTCTATGAGTACTTGAGCCGCCAGACAACCGCCTCTTGCCCTCGCTGCGCAGCCCATGAGAGTGGCGTTCGACCATATTGATCTTTTCTATCAACGTCAACCTTGCCTGTATCCATGAGTAGCTTGACTATTCTATCGTACCCCTCCTCAGCAGCCCATGAGAGTGGTGTCCGATCGTGTTGATCTTTCCCATCGACATCGACCTTACCTGTATCAAGAAGAAGCTTGACCACCGCCTCGTGCCCATGCTGAGCGGCCAATAAGAGCGGTGTTCGACCACATTGATCTTTTCCATCAACGCTGGCCTTACCCTTGTCCACAAGGAGCTTGACCACCGCCTCAAGCCCATGCTGAGAAGCCCAGAAAAGTGGTGTTTGGCCATAACGATCCTTTTTATCGACGTCAACCCTACCCGTGTCGAGAAGCAACTCGACCACCTCCTTTTTGCCATGCTGAGTAGCCCACAAGAGTGGCGTTCGACCTTGTTCATCTGCTATGGTGACGTCGGCTTTGCCCCTACCAATGAGTAAGTAAACCGCCGCCTCGTGCCCATGCTGAATAGCCCGTAAGAGTGGCGTATAGCCATATTGGTCGATTGAATCGACGTCAACCTCCCGCAAATCGAGAAGCAATTTGATTACCGCTCCATGCCCCTTTTGAGCAGCCCATGACAATGGCGATTGGCCATGGTGGTCTCTTCCATCGGCGTCAACCTTCCCCGCATAGAGAAGCATTTCGACTATATTTTCATACCCCTGACGGGCAGCCCATGACAATGGCGATTGGCCATGGTGGTCTCTTCCATCGGCGTCAATCTTCCCCGCATAGAGAAGCCTTCCGACTATATTTTCATACCCCTGACGGGCAGCCCATGACAATGGCGATTGGCCATGGTGGTCTCTTCCATCGGCGTCAACCTCACCCTCCTCGAGAAGCAGTGCGACTAACTGTTCATGCCCCTCCTGGATAGCCCACCAGAATGGTGTTCGACCTATTCGATCGCCTTCATTGCCTAGGTCTGTTCTCTCGATTTTCGCGCATAGAATTGCTTCCACTAATTTTAGTTCGCGCGCCTCGATAGCCATATTGAATGCCTCATCTGATGCGACAAGTTCATTATGTTGGGGCAGAAGTATGATTGCCCATTCAAAATGGCCCTCTGAAACGGCTTCGTCAAAGGCTGTCTGCCCGGCGTAGTCCACCATTTCAACCATATGCGGTGCGTGATCAAGTAGAACCTCCACCGTTTCCTTATGGCCATTGCGTGCAGCGATCAGCAATGGGAAATCATCGCAATCGTCTCGTATATCCGCTAAAGCGCCATGTGACAGGAGTAGGCTGACGATTGCCGTCTGACCTCTTCGCGACGCCACAAACATCGCTTCGTCCTCGTCTCCATATTCATCTTCATCCTCAAATGTCCAAACGAAGCTCGTAGATTTGCGTGTGTTGCCACCAGCCTTTAGGAGTTCCGACAAAACCTTTAGAACATCGAGATCGACATTCTTAGGCAGGTCCACCACCGCAGAAAAGATAGCTCCGTCGTGCTTAACACCCTTTTTCAATAGTATTGAAAAAAGCTTTCTGTCCCCGTGACGGATGGCGTATGATACGAGCTCGAACGGATGCCCGAAGAGTTCCAAATCAGCGCCCGCTTCGATTAACTTGAAGATTACCTCACCGGCCTTCACCGTCGCGGCAACAGTTAAGGGCGTTTCCCCGTCACGATTTTTCAAATCTAGGTGAGAAAGATAATCCCTTGCCTGCCCTCGGCCGTTATCTTCAGCGACCTCGATGTTGGACGCCTCTTCTTGGAGCTGCCATTCGATGGACCGATCCAGCAATAGTAAGGCCATGTCTTCACGACACTCTCTGAGAGCCAGTAGTAGTGGTGTGTTCCCATCCGCATCCCTAACTTCTAGCTCTGCATCATTTTTGACAAGAAATGCGTCCAAACAGCTCTCTGAGCCGAACCCCACCAAAACGTGAAGGGATGTTGCCCCAACAAAGGGCCATCCCTTGGGTGCGTGAATATTATCAGGATCCATCACTCTCCATAGGCTCGCGATGTTATTCAAGATTTCGGATTGCCGACCCCAGTGAATACGCGCAAGAAGATCTTCCTGAGGGATTCCTGCACGTTCAACTTCCCGAATATGGTGGAACAAGAACTGTGCTGTATATGGTATCAGCGGAAATCTTGCTGAGAGTCTCCCCGAAGATAGCTGAGCGCCTTGTAGGACTTCTCTCAAAGTCAAGTAGCTCAGACAAGACCTCGATATCTCAAAGTGACCAGCTCCAATGGAAGATTGACCAGTAGAATCGTGGCGGATGAATTTTTCGAGCACATAATCCGCAACCGACTGGTGGACGAACTGAGCTTCCCGGTCCCAGTCCTCTCCATCAGGCTCATATTGCTCCCAAATCTCGCGAGTTCGGAATTCCACGAGACCTTTGGAGATATGTGTGACGATTCTCTCGAATTGAGTCGTAGTATCTGTCCAGTTGTCGTGGTGTCTGAGTTGCGAAATAGTTGTGCAATTCTTGTCCTTATAATCGATGGCAAACGCTTCTCGGAGCTCGTGTGAAGACAATGGTCGTGCGGCAAACAAAATCCATTGGAATAGTTTTGTCATTTGGTACTGCTCGACAGGGTCGACGCCGCTCAAGATACTAGCGTACAACCCATCAAGAGCTTCCGGGATCGTTGCGAGTCTTTTGTGCAGACTCTCGACGCTAGTTCCAATAGCGCTTCCATGCAGTATCGCGGCAACAACCAATATTGTCCATTGGAACCCTCCGTGAGCCTTCATCAAGATTTCATTCTCGAGTTGTTGCCGCTTTGCTACCGGTTGAATTTCTCTGAGTCGTTCTCGAACGACTAGCCTGATGTCTTTGTCGTTTTTCTCCTCCACATGGATTGTTGACATCGTTTCGCATCCAAGGATAGGATAATGTCTCGAAGAGAAGCAAATTTTGACCAGTGCCTTTTCGCGTTCAATATCGTCCATGAGGGCTTTGAAATACTTCAGTAAGCTCGTGGCATCATCTTCCCCAGACTCGTCAAGGGCATCGACAAAGATTACCACAGGTTGCTTTTTCGCCCCCTTGATCAAAAGCTCGGACATGAAATCTTGAAGTTCTCTTTCGGTCCAATTCCATCGGTTCTCTTCATAAGCCCCAAATCGCGCCTGCCGGTCTTTGAAGCGTCCAGTGAGTTGAGAAAGGTGTTGTGGGAAGGACTTGAGCATGGAATTAAGCAATGCCCGGAATACACCCAATGGAGTCTTCTGCAAAGGGTTTCCCCGGCCGTGTATGAAGAAGGACACAACGACTTCTCCGGACCCTCTGAGATCCATAGCTGTGACTGCAAATTTCATGAGAACTGACTTGCCGGTTCCAGGGTTCCCTTTGATCCAGAAAAGACCTCGCGCACTGTTCATCCAAGCTCGGTATTGTGGATCCTCGAGAAGCCACGCACAGGTGTTCTTTGTGGAATAAATATCGCTGTACCTGTACTCTTGTTCTCGAAAGAAAAGTGACCTGAGGCACTCTAAGTCGTGTCAGCTGTTTGTTACAGTATGTCCTCGTGGTCCATACCCTTATTATCATCCGAAAGTAATACAGATGCTGCAAGAGCTGTCATTTTATTGTCTAGACAAAATATTGGGACCCAACTACCCACCATCAATTTCAGTCTCTGGACTTCTGGCACCGGTTCTGCTCTGCGTATTGGTGCTTAGTATTTCTCGTGTAACGGTGATGACACGTCTGTAGAACACGTCGTGTCCGTGGCTGTATTTCACCATCTCAGAGTGGTTGCGGTCAATCGGATGGCGTTGATTACTGTAGCATGTCGCTGAAGAGACATCAACTAAGACTTCGCTAGGTCCAGACAACTCCCACTTGCCATTCACCTAAATTAAGCGTAAGTAGGCACTTCGTTAGAGGCCAACCAATCTAGATGAACCTACTTCTACAGCCGTGGGAGACTTCTCCGTTTCGTAGAAGGACACAATTGACGGTCTCCTTGCACTAATCACGTTGTTGAATTCTTTGTCCAGGCGTTGGAGGAGTGCTGAGTTTCTGTTGAGCGACTCAAGAAGACTCCGGTTCGGCCGATTCTTGACCAAGGGCACGAGTGACTCGATAGCCAAGCCTTGATGAGGAACGCCAAAGAATATGAATCCAGAGATAGAATCTAGGATTGATGCATGCGCTTCGTGTATCTCTTCTTTCATTCTGACTATAGTCTGCACCAATGGATAAAGCAAGGATGTCAGTAGCTGATGAATTCCTTCTTCGGTGTTCATTTGGATTGAGCTGACCTCTTTGATAACAAGACCTCCCAGGCTGTGCCCGATAAACACTACGGGATGAGAATGCGCTGGGTCCTGTGTGCTAGATTAGCTTCATGAGGCAACTCAGATCACAGGCGCATTATACACACCTGAATACCTCTCAAATCTATCTGGAGAGCTCTGCCCAGGTCTGACAAGTTTTGGAAGGAGCTGCTCCGTACAAGTTGAGTGTCGTATCCATATATTAAGATTCTTGCGTTTGGAACATCTAATGGAAGCGCATCTCGAAGCCACATGAAAGGCCCTCCTCTTTCCTTAAACGAACCAAATGCGTGCCCTCCGAGGCCAGACATAGCAATCACACTGGAACATGGGTTAATGTCGCGTAAGTCGCCGTGAGATTGTCGTCAACTCACTCTACATTACAACTCTCGTCAACGGTACGTTGAAGAGGCGTGAAGCCCGAGAAGTGAGTATCGAAAATGAGTGGTGCCTTGAAATCGGAGTCATCCTCATTCGTTAGGCTCACTACCCATTCATTTCTAGAGCGATCTGAGAAGCAATCTGGGAGGGGGTTGAAGCGGAGAGTTGCGACTCGACTATCTCGTTTGACAGGGCAAATCGCAAGCGAATGAACAATGACGCTTGCGTTGGGTTTGAGAGAAAGAACTTCCTTGACCAATACACGAACGTCAGCCCTGGTCTCATATTCGCGGGGCAGTCCTCGTATCCTGAAGTTCTGGTTGTGATCGGTCGGCATGGTGCTGCTGGCCTCGCACCAGAAAACGAAGCCGGTGAAAGAGCGGAAGCGGGCGAAGAGGCAAGATTTCTTCCCCTCCGTTAGCACTGTTCTCGAGGGTAACACCTCCTATTAGGTGGCGTCCGTGGCTGGGAGACATTGGTGCTTCGGTTTTGACAAGGGTTCGCACTCCAGCTCAGCTTCGGATTTATCAAGGCGTGTTTGGATGCCTCAAACCACAAACCAACAACCACTGCATGCCGCCGCGACAACCAATCCCCCGCGCTGATTTACCAAGACCTGCTGAATACCTACCAGCGGCTGATGAGACCTGACTTGAGCAGTCGGACCACAGCTTCTAGGATCATTCGCCGATAACTCCAGGATGGACATGCAAGAGTAAGCGCTAGCCTCGAATGGTACGTGAATGATTGATTGGTTTTCTCCCAGGTACTCAACTTCAGCCGCCTCTATCAATAGCTATGCTAGGATCAGGCAGAAGTGCAATTCACAGCTCTACAACTGATCACGCAGCATGGATTTACCTCCTCCTGACGCGCTGTAGCACAGCCTGTCAGGCCTCCGCTGCTACATGCCCTCATCTCACAGGGAAGGCTTCAGTAGAAGTGGAATAGACAGATCATCAGAGCAAGGAGACCGCCAGGAACGTCACAATTGCTTCAAAAATAAACACTCTGGAAGTATAAGAGATGTAAGAGCGACGGTAGGCGGGGTTTGGTCGGCGGAAGTATGGGCAATGTCACGGGACGAGCTGCGTAAATTCTAGCAGAGAAAATCCTGTTTCATTCTCAACCGGAATTAGATAGCAGGATTGACGAATCAAGTAGTCTAATGAACTGCAGTTTCTTTATTCCCTCTCATCGTCTGCTCTCTCTTCTCAGACTATCCACTTGCGTATGGTCGTCTAGGTTTACGGTGCCTACCTTGCCTTGGCATGAAGTCAATGATGTTCACGATATCAACGACTGCTTATCTGCAATTCTCCACCTCACATATCCCGTACCCGAGCGAATTCAAGGGTCTTAAACAAAGCGGTTGCAAAACTTTAGGGGCATGGCGCAAGCAGATACTAGCATAGCCGAATTCTCAGACGTGACTTTGGTATACTGACGATACATGTGTTTGAATTGGGGAAAGGCAGGATCGGTGAGGGAGCCATCCCTTTGCAGGTCGAGTCTGAGCAACCGAATCTCACCACCGACTTGGTGGAAAACACCAAGAGAGTTGCCGTAGCGGACGACCTTGAGTGGCCTCGTCGGTTCAGCGTTTATGGGCTGCCGAGAAAAGTCGTCTACCCATTCCAGGCTGTTGCTGGCGGCCTGATCGCCCACGTCGATGGTGGTGGTCCCCGGTTCTAGGTTCGGGTGGCCGTACATAGAGTCGTAGCCGCACAGGGGCAGCGACATGTACCAGAGCCGGCCCTGATTGTTGTCGTTGGAATCGATGGCGAAGATGTAAAGGATCGGCGGGGCGGACGGGTCGGGTGGCTGGACGGCGACGGCACAGGCCGCCCGGAAGCCGTGGCTGCCCGAGGTGATGTTGAGGAGGGACCACCGCGTGTCCGTCGAGATGGAGGTGAGCCTGCCCACGGCGGTGGCGCTGGTGAAGCCGAGCGTGATGACTCTCGATGAGCCCTGGCCGCTATTGTCATCTGGGAACGGAGTATATAGCGCAAAGACGGTAGTCGAGTTGTCGAGGTAGATGAGCTGCTGCGGTCCGACGTTTCCTGTGCCTCTGTTGTCTATTCGTGGTCCGTTTGGAATCAACACCGGCGAGGCGAACCAGTCGGCGGACGGGCGGTAACCGGTCAAGTACGCGGTCCCGCCCCGCGCAGGCACGGAGAAGTCACGGTCACCGGAGTCTTTGCGGCAGCAGAGTGCGGCAAAGCGGTCGTCGGCCCTGGGCCACTTGTTTTCGTCATAAGCGAGTACGCGGTACGGGTCGTTGGCGTCAGGAACCAGCAGGTTGTGCTCGATGGGCTGGAAGAAGGGCGAGGCCGTGGCGAACAGCCGGCCGTTGACGGTCAGGATGCTTGCAGACATTTGTGAAAAGTCGTCCTGCTTGACGCCGGCGGACCAGGGCTGGTTGGCCCAGTCAGTAGCTGGTCCCGTCTCAGTCCCCGCGGGCAGGCACGCAGCGGAGCAGATGTCCAGACTCGGGGTGAGCTCCAGCACAAAGGCCTTGTATCGCGGGTTCGAGGCATCGTTGCTCTGCTGGCCGTGGCTGACAACGACAACCATTTGCAGCTGGGCGAGGCCGTCCTGCCAGGTCAGAGCGCCGGTGGACTTGATCTCTATATTGTCATTGTAGTTGACCGGCATGGGCCACGAAGGCCGGTAGCCCGGGATCAAGCTGTATAGCGAATTGCCCAAGTTGAGCGGGTACGGCTTGCTGATGGTCGCGAAGCTAGAGCTGTTCTCCGCTCCTGCGTTGCGACGGAGATATCTAAAAATGAGTCTGTTCCCGTCCAAGTAGCAGAGCAGCAACGCTTCCGTGGCCTCGTCGCTAGACATGATGAATTATTGCGGACTAAGATCAGAGTCCTGTGTGTGCGCGTGTGTAGGTGAGTGTGGTTTGGCATGTGCTACTATTTTGACGACTACCTCACTGGTTGGCAATCAATATTGAACGGGTTAAGACGGAGTATTATGAGCATCGCAGAGTGGCTTCGCCTCTGAGCTGATGGGGTAAAGAAAGGTGTCCTCTCACCAATACTGCGCTTTTCACTACGAAAGGCAGCTGGAATTTCACGGAGTGTTTTTGTCAAAAGTTAGAAGACGTCACGAGTGAGCTGAAAACCTAGCTCCGACGGCTGAAGACAGGGATGGAGTTGTGGCGCATCACTGCTTAGCTGAAAAGGTTCACGTCCAAAGGGATATACTAATTGTTTCTTATCCGTCTTTTGTGTGTATTTGTCAGTTAACTCATTCATCCAACCGTCGTGTAAGTATCTAAGTCGGAAATCTCTCTGTCAAACACTCAATACACACCACTTACTTTTGTTACAGAATTGCAGAATCGAAGAGGCGAAGCTAGCAGTCGCACATCGTCGGACTGAATTACGGTACTATTTCGTACATTCTAGAGGAAACTCATGGATAGACCCTCAGGCGCTCTCGCCGTTGACGCCAATGGCCACGCCAGCTATTCTTTCCCCATCACCGTCCCCTCTGGTATCGGGCAGGGAAATACTCCCAAGCTCAGTCTGCAGTACTCGCAAACCCGCGATGCTGCCGGCACTTGTGGCCTCCGCTGGGCGGTTGCGGGCTTGTCTTCCATCGAGAGAGTTGCGCCATCTCGCGCGATCCGTCAGCACCCAGACTTTCTTGCCAGCAAGGAGGTGCCCGTTCCCTGGCGTCTAGCCGTCGATGGTGCAGAGCTCATCTGCTTCCAGGGCTCCTATGGCACGGGAGACGCGCGCTACTGTACCCAGGTCGACGCGGGTCAGGTCGTCACATCTCTGGCATCTGGAGGTTTCCAACTCCTAGATACTGATGGCCGCACGAAAGAGTACGGCACCACGCCAGACAGTCGGCTGCTGCCCGGTCAGTGGCGTCTCAGCAGTACTACAGACGTCCATGGGAACACCGTCACCTACCACTATTCCCAGTCTCCTGGCCTGGCTGCTGGAGGCTCTCGTCCGCCGTCAGAGAAAGGATCGTCGTCGACGTCGTCTACACAAGTGTCGTATATCGACACCATCCAGTACACCAGCAACTCCCGCAACGGCTACAAGGGCCGTTGTTGGTTGACTTTCCTCTACAACACCCGCCCAGATCGTGCCGTTGTTGTCCGCCATGGTCAGCTGCGCAACATTGGCTACAGGCTCGAACGCATCGAGGCTCGTGTTGGCAGTCCTGACAGCGCCCAACAGTCAGATCTGGCCAGGGCTTTTGATCTCACCTACACGTCGTCTCCTGCCAGCGGCGAGTCCCTTCTCGCCTCCATCACGGAGCGTGGCTCAAATAACAATGCGCTCACACCGACAACCTTCACATATACCGCGGCCGATGACTCGGCCGCCGGAACATCGCCTTTCGCCCAGGACCCGGCCGGCGCCTTCACCCTGCGTACTGGCGCCGCCCCTGCCGCTATCCTGCCCCTTGATACCACAGGTCGCGGCTACAGTGATCTCGTCTGTCTAGAGCTACCTAGTCCCAGCGGCCTCTTCCAAGTGCGC